GCAGGGAGAAACGTCTCCTGTGCCGGGCACACTGGGTGCTGAACATCTCTGGCCGTCCATCCTACCGGACACCTGCAACCATTTCAGATATGTAGTTCTGTCTCTCCCAATTTCACCTTCAAACTGGGATTTCTGAAACTGAGATTCATCTGCTGGTGGTCTTAGGATGGCAGCTGCTGAAGCAGAAGCAATGATGAAGATGCCTTTGCAGGTGAGTGAGTAGCTGTGTGAACCTCGCGTAGGTCCATCTCCAGGGCCAGGCAGGAAAGTATCAGCAAGGTCATGAAAGACACCAAGTGGTTTTCTGTTCTACTCTGCATCTGAATGAAAAATGTGAAGCGCACAGGGTGTCTCCTCCCTTCTCTTTGTCTGTCAGCACATTTCCAGAAGGCCTGGCCACACCACGGCGCGGCTGGCTGGGGAGCAGAGACTGACACAGCACACGGATGGTGGCGCCCCGCCTGGGTGGTCTGCTGGTAACCCTTTGATTCAACTCCCAGGCTGGGAGAGCTGGAGCTGCTCCTAACGATAGCTGGGCCCTGAAATCTCACACTTGCAGGCATAGAGCAAGCCCTGCTCCCTGAGTTGCTACCTCCCACTCCTCACCACAGGCTGGGATAATTCACCACATTCTTCTGTACTCACAGCAGAACCACAAAGGCCATACGTACTCCCTCGCAGCGCTGCGGGAGGTGGAGATAGAAAGACCTCACACCGGAGCCACTCTCTAGGACCCTGTGAGCCGCCATGGTGCCCCCCAACCAGGTGCAGCTGCGTCTAGAAAACGCTGCTTTCAGGAATGCACACTGTGTCGGCCAAAGGGTCCATCCCCCACAGCCTCTCACCAGCCAAGGGAAGGACTACATCTGACCCGTGTCTGCCCACATTTCCATGGTATCTCCGGGATAGTCACACACCCTCCGTAGTTCAAATGTACATATGCTCACCCAAATGTTTCTTAGGTAGCCACTGCCCATGCGGCCGAGAAAGTTCAAATTTTATATTTATTTGTTCTAGGCCTTGAACAAAGCTAAATAACAGCAGAAGTGATTAAAAAAATTCAAGATAAATGAGGTTGCTTTTAGCCATATAAACACTTTAAGAGTCGAGCCTCTAATGCGAAGTCTGGGTCCCTCAAAGTTTTGTTACCAATATTTAGGGCCATCAGAGGTCTCCCTCCTTTGGCTGGTTCACGATCCTCAGCATCCGCCAGACAGTGGGGAGGGAAAAGGGTGAGTGTGCTTTACCCTCTAGCCCGCTCTGCTCTGGGCTACAGGGCGAGGCCAGCCATGCCTCTGTGGCCCCCACATCCTGCACAGGGCCTCAGAAGCTCTCCCCAAAGCAGCCCTCGCCTTTCCTCCAGCTTCAGGCCTATTTTGCCCCTGCTAACTCCTCATCTACACATCATCAACAGCGCTCTTCTTCCCCGCATCCACAGTTGCTAGTTTTTATCCTGGAAGCTACTTCTGCTCTTCTGCCACCCACCTGCTTACCTTACAGGTTTAGGGAAAGTAGTATCTCTTCCAAGAATACCGCCTTGGCCTTCTTCCCGGCCCTACTCACCAGCTGGGTGAGGTAATCCTCTGGGCGGACCTGTTCTTCCCCAGGAAGATTTCTGTCACGCGTGTCCCAGGCTATTGCTATCATGTGCTTATGGGGCTGTCCCACCTGGGAGACAGTTCTTCCACACAGAGGACTGTATCTTGTATCAGCCCCAGGGTGTAAGACCAAAGCTTGGAACACTCTTAGAACTCAGTTAAAATGTTTTTTTTTGGGGGGGTACCGGGGATTGAACTCGGGTCCTTGCACTTGCAAAGCAGGCCACCGAACCGCTGAGCTAAATCCACGGCCCTAAAATGATTATTTAATAAAATAAACACAATAGATTAAAGTTTTATAAAATATGCCACTATATGCTTCAATAAGCTAAATTGAAATCATAGGCAAAATAAAATGTCTCTTTAGAAATATCCAACAACTTCAATTTCCTATATTCATCTTCCAAAATAGTACCATAATTTTTAAAAAATCAGATTTCCTTATCTAATAGGAGGTCTTTTAATATTTTGCCTAGAAATGCCATTAAATAAACACAGTAGGCCCTCAAGCTATGGCCAGCCTGACATATGGAAACTTGAATTAGTTAGGTTAATGGAAGACTCATCTGCCTCTTGTTACCTATAGCGTGTACCCAGGTAAACATCCAGATCTCAGCCGTATTGACTTACAACCAACCCTCAATTGGGAACTGCCTGAGTTCGTAAGGTAAGGATCCACTGTATCAGAGTTTATGGGCTATAATTAAGCAATGTTCAATGGAAAATTCATAGCATTCAATATAGTAAAAAAAAAAAAAAAAAAGCAGAATAAGTGTAAGTCAATTAAACACCCACATCAAGAAATAAGAGCAAGATAATAAAGATAAGGAAAGAAGAAATTAGTAAAGACAAAACAAAAAAATAATATATTAGCTGGTATTACACCTGTAATCCCAGCACTTGGGAGGCTGAGGTGGGAGGACTGCCAAGAGTTCAAGGCCAGCCTGAACTACACTGTGAGACTCTGTCTCAAAAAAGTAATAAAGAAATAGAATTCGAAAGAAATAAAATGACACAGTGAATAAATATATCCAGAATTAATCCTATAAAAGGAAGGGGGGATATCCAGGAAGCCTATCAGAAAAATAGAAAAGGCACAGACATAAAAGAATTGAAAATAAAGAAAAAGTATGCGATAAGAGGAAATCAAAAGCGCTGAAAGTGATGTTTGGACACAAAACTGTTTCTGATGACAACTAAACAGAAGCTTCTGTGTGGCAAGTCCAGAGAGAAGCCCCGAGCTCCAGCATGCTCAGTGTGATGCCCACCTTTTTCTAGAAGGCCATAGACCCTGCAACCTGCTTTAGCGAGGAACAAACTAAGGCAACTTTCCTTTTCAGACACACCTAAATAAAAAAGGAAAGTGAACATTAAACCATTATCACCTGTTTATTAGTTATTTACCAGAAAAAGAATGAGAAATGTTTCCAAATTCCAAATTAAGGAACTGTTTTTTCTGAAGGGAAGGAGCTGTACAGCACACAATTGAGGTTTTCAAAAACAAAGTACAAACTGACCAACAACTTACTTTTTCCAAATTGAATTAGCAACCATTTATTATTGAAAATCTTTATGGCTGAAATAATAGTACTTTCCAAGTACGTGGTATTGACTTTACAAAGAGGCTTTTGCACGCTATCCTCATGACTCTGCTGTTTCCCCATCCACAAATGAAGGTGCTGAGGTTGAGGGAAGCTGGGTGAATGGCCCAAGACCACACTGCTCATCCATGGCAGGAGGACACAAGTCTTTGGATGGCCACCCCAACTCCCTTTTCTTCCCCTCCCCTGCTTATTATGCACTACAGCGCCACCCTAGCTACTATAGCAAGCACTAACCACTCTACCACCAAGACTCTGAAGGCTCAGACTGGTGTCTAGTGACAGGTTCAGTTCCCTCAACAGGAGAATGGTGGACTCTTAACTCACTAGCAATGAAGTCTCCATAGATAAAGAGAGACAGACTGAAGGGAGACGAATAAGCCCTGGATTACTACAGGGTCAGGAATTGATCATTGTGCAGGCTTTGCAGTATGGGAAATGATCGTAATTGAAAATATATTTGCAGTGATATTGGCTACCTATTTTGCTACAATCACACATGCACATACACACACACACCAGTCTCTTAATATCTTGATACTTTTAGCTCTTCGTTTCCAAAGTGGAAACAACTCAATCACAAAAGAGTAGCATAACACTGGCCTTTACCCTTTCTCACAGACATTTTGTACTGCAAAATTCGTTCTCCTTCCACCGTGGTCAGGGCAGTGTGTTCTCTCCATCTTTCTGTCACTAAAATTAACTCTCCAACTCCCTTGTAAGTTTCTTTGCTTCTGACTTCACATTAGGCCTCCTTATCTGCTTGCTTCAGATGGCTAGGGATTTGAAAAAGGAAATAATGACTGCCTCACACACGGGGGTGAGGCTGAAGTAAAGCTAAGTCCACGACAGGCTCACCTTTAGTTCCTGTCCTTAACTTTTCAGAGAACGAGGATACCACCAGGGAGCAGTGTGTTACCTACTTTCAGCATGTACTTGAAAGAATAACAATTATTTTTCAGCTTCATTTTTATACACTTGATTAATATTACTGAGCTACCAACAATTAAAGAATTTGACACAACAAAGATCTGCCGAAATGTAACTGTGGAGTTTACATTCTTTGGAGGACTCTGATGCCATTTAGGATTAAGGAAGAGGAGGACACAGGGTTTCTACTTGCAATTAAATATCATGGGGATGATTAGAAAAACAAAACAAAACCAAAACACAAAGAGAAACCACAAAGTTGTTGCCAGTGTCACCTAACTTCACTATAGTATAAACTTTTATATATATGTAAAAGTCATACACATGAGACTTCATAAAAAATGTCAATATCCTGGTACCTATTTCTATCTACTCGGTTTATTGAAAGATCATGACCACATCCTGTCTTTCCGCCTCAGTTACCCCAACCTTTACAATGGGGAGAATGATAGGCCCTGGAGAAGGCTATACGTCTTCATTAGTAGCCATAGAGCATTCTGAGATCATAAAGTGAAGGGCAGCAAAGTAAGGGAACAAAAAGCAAAGGTAACATTATTGACATTCAGATAAAAAGATTTATAAAACTAGAGCTCACTGGAAGTTTTTATCTAAGAAAGAAGCTGTTTTTAAAGATCCTTTAAAATTATATTGACAGTTGAACGGGTGTGTTTATCCATGAAACAGGTCCATGATAGCTACGAGCAGACTTAACCTCATGATACTTGGAACAGAAAGTCATGTTCTCCCCAGCTGAGGAGAAATACTTTGATTCTTCACATTTGTACCAACGCTCATTCAAGAGGCTTCCGGGAAATGGTAAAGTCGGGGAGAGACGGAGCACTGTACTCCTAGGCTGGGCGCAGCGGCGTACCTGCTGGGTGAGGAGGGCGATGTGGCTGGCTGGGGAATACTGCCTCGCTGCCTGCTTCTCGGCGAGCCGCTGAAGTTCAGCTGTCACCATACTCTGGTTGTACCGCTTGCTGTATGAAGAACCATCGTCTCCCTCTTTTTGTGATTTGGCTATTCTGGAATGATGCTTGTTTGGATGGCACAGACTTGCTGAAAAACAGAAAAGTTTGCATTCACTTAGGATAAAAGCCCTGCAAATATCAGGGCAACCATAAGAAAACTATCAGGCCAACAGGCACTTGGTGGAATCCTTGGGATCTCTTGCAACACAAGGGGAAGCAGTATTTTCAAAGTCACAAAAATAAAACCTTACCATTCCTTAAAAATTCTCCCAAGAGCCAAAATGTAACATGCATTTATCAATGTGCTTTTGCTTACTAAAAAAAGGGTCACAAAGAATTTTCAGCTGGACTTGGTGATGCATGCCCGTAATCCTAGTACTCTAAGAGGCTGAGGCAGGAGGGTCTCAAGTTTGAGCACATCCTGGGCAACTCAGTAGGACCCTTTCTCAAAACTTAGATAAAAAGAGGGAGGAGTTATAGCGCAGTGTGAAGGCCTTAGTTTGATCCCCAGTAGTGCAAAGCAAAACAAAAATACTAAACAATTTTCATCACAGGTAGAGGTGAATAGACAATCCTAGAATCTACTAATCTGAATGAATAAAAAAATATTTTTGGGCTGGGGATATAGCACAGTGGTAGAGTATTTGCCTCGTGTGCACAAGATCCTAGGTTCGATTCCCAGCAATGTCCCCAGCCATCTTTGAAATTCTTTAATTCTTGTTTGGCTTGTTATGTAACTACACTTTTCAATACTTCTGCAGCATCCAGACAGTCATCCACAACACTACTTACAGAGCTCAAAAGGGGTGAAAGAAAAGCAGAGTACTGAGAAAAAAACAGCGATTACTTAAATTCTCAAATGAGTGCCTTTTCTCATTGAAATTCTCTTCTCTCAACTATGTTATCATAGTTGTATTATTCTGAGCAGTAAAATACTGGCAAAGAAAAATTATTTAAAATAGAATCAAGGTTTGTATTTTTTTATTCGAAATGTCTCACATCTCTTGGAAAAATAGCTTTTAAAATGGAGAAAAGTCAAAACACCATAATGTATTTCTCACCTATCTGCCCGTCCCACCCATCACCCAAACATTTTCCTGTTACAAGGATTTGAACCCAGGGCCTTGAGCCTCTAAGCACACACTCTACCCACCACTAAGATCCATCCTAGGCTCCTTCTGTCCTTTTATTAATGCTGATATAATCATAATCACTCTGTGTACACAATTTGGCAACACTTTACAACATCTTTTTCATATTTATTATTTGATACATACAGTTTTACAATAGGTGTATAAGTTGTAAGCGTATTAAAATAAATACCGGTGAACTGGAGCTAGCTGACCCATAATGTAACTGCCCATGTGCTCCTCCCCACCCCTAATTTCCCTGTTGTTCATTCTCTTCCTTTTCTAAAATACAGATTTGAATACAGTTTTATCAGATGCAGTTGTGTCTGTATGTACATATAAAGAAAATACTACACAATACTGCTTACTTCTGAGCTCTATAAAAATAGTATTCTACTTTGGTTTCCTGGGACTTGCTTTTGTTTTCAGCACTGCGCTGCCAAGATTCACGTGTGCTGAGTATGACTGAAATTCACACATTGTATTTGCTGTCATCCTCCATTTTGCAAATACTTCACAACTGCTATTCCCCCACCAATGGGTATTTCAGTTATGCTGAGCTTACCGATGGTATTAAAAATGCAGCTTGCACACTGACACCCATCTGCTGGTATACATGCAGGAGAGCTTCTCTCGTACCTATCCTTACAGTGAATTCTGGCCACAGGGTATGTAAATTTTCAATCTTATCAATAATACCAGGGTGGTATTATCTACATTCCCACAAACAAAAGAGTTCTTGCTGATCCCCACACTCTTTAACACTTTGTACTGTCAAACATCCTAATTCTTCCTAAGTAGCTGAAAAATGTCATTAGAGTTGTCATTTATATTCACCCGATTAATGATGTGACATGTTACCCCTTTTCTGATAGCCTTTATTCTTTTTCTATTATTATTTCCTATGGACTTCAATTGGAGTTAAGCTTTTGTTCCATACCATAACATCTTAAAAATGGCCTCCTTTATTCTAGAAGTTTTCATTTTTGCAACTGAAATCAATTTTTATGCATGGTATGAAGCAGGGATTTAATTTCACTTTACCCTAGCACTATTCACTGAGAAATCCTTCCTTTTTCATTAAACTACAACGCCTAGGCAACTTAGCAAGACCCTGTTGTGTGTGTTTTTTTGTTTTTTTTTTTGGTACTGGGGATTGAACTCTGGACCTTGCGCTTGCAAGGCAGGCACAGTGCCACTGAGCTAAATCGCCAGCCCTAGCAATATCCTATTTTTAAATAAAAAAGTGGGGAATGGCCAGTGTAGGGTGCTCTTGGGTTTGATCTTCAGTACTGAAGAAAAAAAAAAGTCTTTTCTAAATTTTTCTGTAGGTAGACTATAGTTTTAGTGCCACAGAACTTAAACTTTAAAAAAAGTTAAA